TCTTTAACAAGTGTTGTCCATATTATTTAAATACAAACCCACATTTCAAGGAGAAAAGACCAAGTTATGAATTGTATTATGGCCTAAATGGAGGAGGACTAATGCCTCACTTTGTTTTAGTCTTTAATTTTGTTTAAATAATGGCTCAATCCTTTGTAAAATTGGTTGACCAAAATATGTTTTGGGTTAATCAATTAATGAGATTTATTTTGGGTTTGTTTCAAGTTGTAATAAAGATCTAATTGGAAACTTAGTTATCAACCTTTGGGAGACCAAGATGGTACATAGTTGATTAACTTTTGGTTGCCATAATTTAAGTTACAATAAGTAATTAAGTAGTTTTCAATTCGTAAATTAATGGATCATTATTAACATTTATTTGCTTCCATTAAGTAGTTTTCAATTCTTAGATTAATGGATCATTATTAGCATTTATTTTCCTTTATTGAATTTTTTAAACTTTGATGGCAAAACTTTTATATAAGTTTAACCATTTTTATCAAAAATACAAGTTAAATTTTATTAAAAAATATTAGAGTTTAACTTTTTTATCTTAGTGAGAGTGATTCTCCTAAGTTCTTAAGTGATTCAAGAACTCTTGGTTGTATCAAAAGACTTTCACATCCTTTGTGAGTTATCTTCCTTATGAAAAGTGATTATTTCCTTCAACATTTCACATTTACCTCTTGTCATTTCTTCATCGAACATAGAAAACTCAATTATGTCTAGATTTATTTCGCGGTCATAACTTTTTTTGTACTTGTCCAAATTGAGTGTTTTTTTTAGCCTAAATTGAAATTCAAAAACAATAACTTTCACATCGTTCTTAAATCACCCCAATCGGAGTTTTATAACTCAAGATATCGATGTTTCTAAATTTCTCTCCAACCTTAAAACTTTTATCACTTTCTAATTCACCTTCTCATTAATCTCCTGAATTTCTTACAAGGTTCTAACTATAAATTTAATATATCATTGCAATCAATACATTAATAAGTATTCTACTTATAGTTTTTTAACTTGTTTATGCACATTTCATTCATTAATTACCTAGTTATTCTTATTCAAATTATCTAATTTTCTATTTATATATAATTTTTCTAACTTTGCTAAATTATATTTCTTCAAAATATATATTTTTCTAAATATTTCTTTCAAATATATCTATTTTAGAAAAAAATCTAATTTTTTTACTTCTCTGAATAATTAAATACTACAAACCTACTATATTTAATTAATTTTATCATTTTTTTAAATTGATTTCAATTTCTATTCCAAATATTTACCAGTTTTATTTTACGTCAAATCACCATAATTTTAAATTTTTTTCAAATAATTTCTCTTCAATCATCTTATTTACTAAATTTCTACTACTTACTTATTTTTAAATAATTTTTTTATACTAAATAAATTATATTTCTCATTTTTAATTTTAAATTAAGTCACCATAAATTTAAACATTTTTTTAAATGATTTCTCTTAAATCATCCTATTCTTAAATTTATTTTTTTCTATAAATGTCTACTACTTAAACTTAAATAAATCTTTATTAATAAATAAAATTATATTTCTCAATTTTAATTTTACATTAAACCACCATAAATTTAAACTTCATTTCAAATAATTTCCATTATATCATATTATTATTTATTTTTATTTTCCTAATTTTTCAGTACAAACTTATTATTAAATAAATTATTATTACTAAATAAGTATACATTTACCAATTTTAATTTTAGATAAATTAACCATAATTATAAAATATTATTTATAATTTTCCTTATATAATGTTTTTTCTCTTTCTTGTTTTTTTTTTAATAAAAAAATTATAAAACCAGCTTAAAATTCAGTTTAGAAATCGAATTCTAACTTTGCTTGGCATTGGTTTGGTTGTACTGCCTGGTATGGCTTAGCGCCAGGCAGAGCCGATCGTCCCGGCGATAGCTGCTTGTTCACTCCTGTCGACTCGTACATCTTTTATTTTTTTATTTTTTTTTGGGAATGGAATATTATGGGCCTGGCTTCGATGGGGTTGCTTTTGTTGACATATTCTATTTGAATTACTTACAGAAATTACTTGTTGAAACAATTAAACAAAATATTAATTATTTGAAATAACTTTTTATTGACATAATTAAGTATTAATTATTTTAAATAATCTTTAATGGAAGAATCTAAATAACATAATAAATTGTTAAAAAAATTAGTTGATTCACTAAATAATTTATAAAACAAGGATATATTTTTTTATTTCTTAAGAATTTTTTTAAAATAATTACGAATTACTTAACTATAATATATCACTAAAAATATAAATTTTACAAATTTCATAATAAAAAATAGTCCATTTAAATTTTTGGTATTAGAGATACCTTACAATATATTTTAATACTTGTTATCATGACATTAATTTTAAAATAATTTGAAACAATTACAATTGCAATTATTCTATGATATCAAGTATGAGATACGATTCATATATTCACGCATGAAACATAAATATACATTCACATGTATTAATCCTATCCAAACATTTATATAAATTAAAGAGTATATGTAATTGTACTTGATAATAACTATTTAATATTTAAATCTCATTTTTATGGGATTGTGAGAATTAGAACATCAATCTAATAAAACACCAATTAGTTTTATAAATACAAGAATAAACTAAGCTGTTATTTAAATTGAATTTGTGTAAGATTAAAAATAAGGGCATCATGTGTCAGTTTAACTTTCCCAAAAATAATAGAGAATGCTAGTGTAATTTACCAAATAATAATTATGTGCATTGATAGATCATATCATAACATATCAAGAAGGTATTCAAATTACATTACCAAAAAAGTTCAGATTTATAGCACACATCGTGCTGCTGTAAATTACAAAGCAAGGTAAAGAAAACATATCTTAGAAGCTCATATTCCATTAAGAGTGACAACAACACTTCGTGAGGTAGGATGATCCCGATGCTCGCATAGCCATATACCCTTAAACAAAAAGAAGAAAAACATTATTAATTTGGATACTGCATTAAACAAACTGAGGTGTGGGTGATTTCGATATGTGATCTAATCTCGCACTAAATGCAGTGCCAGTGCTAACATCTACAAAAAGTAACTATGCAGTTATTCATGTCAACCAAACGAACTCATCTAGCACAGATACTATCATAAAATATTCTAATCCATCATCAACTCTAGATTCCTGTAGATATCAAACATTTACACGTTAAAATGGGATTTATATGTATCTTAAATGAGTAAAATTGAGGTTTAGTCCAAATTTCTCAGATGTCCTTCTCCTATGATGGAAGTTGTTGTAAACGCAAAAAAAGCAAGGGAAGTCACATGCAGTCTCAAAAACTTCTAAAGAGTGTTTTTATAATTTTCTCTATCAAAATTGTGTTTTCTAAGTTATAAAGATTAATTCCATTTAGGAAAACCCTAATCCACAATAATAGTATATGAAATTTCATACTTCTAAGCAGAGATGTTCATAAACAAATTAAAATAATCAGTTGCCACCATTATTAATATTGTTCACAGTCAAGCTCAAAGAAAATCTGTATTTCATCTGTTCAGATAAACTGACAGTCAAATTCAATAACTTTGCCTTGTCCTTGTGGATTTTAATAAATAAATCCTGTGCTTTCATACATGAACTTAACTTCCAGTCCAGGCATTGTGTAGGAATATGCTCTTCCAAGTCAAAACAGATTAAATATAATAGAGTGGATTGAGAAACTTTTGAATTTCAAATATCTAGTTCAGGCATCGTGTGAGAACCAGAATTCCCTAAGGACAATAGTATGGAATTTCAAAATTGTTAGTGAAATAATAGGTTCATCCTAATCTCAGTTAGCGGTTCATGTATCAATCATTATGAAATATACTATATAGGGCTATGGCATCAATAGTGAATTACTTAAGGTAACAACTTTTGAAACACAACATAATTCACAATGAAAGAATTGTTTTAACTCCTTGCAAGTGCACATGCATATGATAAACTTGGATAGCCATTGACTTTTGAGTCAGGTTCGTATGAGAATTGGATAGCAACCGATTATTCATGAACATGTTAAAAAATCCTTCAAAAGTGCTGAAAAAGAGTTTGGTTATCCAAGTGTACTTTAACTCAGAACTTTAAAGTTGTACTCACTCACTCACTTATTCACTCTGTATATAGAACCAATATAAATTTGAATGAAGATCATTTTGAAAGATCATCGCATAAATGAATTTTATTACCTGCCACGTTCCCATGTTAAGCTTCCCATTTGTAATTGGTATCCTAAAAATACAAGAAATCAGTAGATGATTATAACGTAGTTATAATTTTTCAGCATAATGAATCAAACTGAAACATTGTAGTATTTCTCACGTGAGTGCACAACCAAACATCGATGATTTAATATGAGCCGGCATGTCATCTGGCCCTGCAAAATTTCAAATCCAAATAAGATTCCAGTTGTCACAGAAGCAACATATAATACATCAGTTCAAAAAATATACCAATATTATAAATTGAAAACCAACAGCTCTATAGGATCTATTTGAATAAAAATAAATAAAAAATAATAATTAAGGTTCTCCACAAGCTTAAATTAACTTATGCACAAATTAAAATATAAAAACTTAGAGAAACTACACAACAGAGCTTCTTCAAATTAGTCTATGCATAAATTTTTTGAGATGCTCATTTAATTTTCTCTTCTAAAAGTGTTAATAATGAACAAACCTGTCCAAGCATAAGTAATAACAGACTTATGCTATGATGTTATGACGAATGCAAGTAGGCAAAAATCTTAACACATAATCTTCAATCAGAATTGCCACATCTAAGAGGAAAAGCAAGAATAATAATGGTATCCAATCACAGACTCTTTCAGGCTGATATATAAAAATGAAGCTGGATCAACTCGACGCTATTTATATTAAGAAAACTATGTATATATACAAATATTGGTAATTAAAAAAAAAAACGAGAAAATAATACTAACCCTCCAGAGTATGCTTCCATGGAGCAGATGATCCCTTCACCAGACATTAACTAACACATTAAAATTTGATGTAAAGAAATTATGTGTTTAAAAAACAGTAAATGATGGGAAAGAAACCTCAGGAACTATTCGATTGAGGAAGGTTTCGGTATCATCGCGGACATCAGTGTCGTAGTTCTCATTGATGGTGAGAGAAGCACTGGTGTGCTGCACTGTCGTTTCGTTTCCCATTACAATTTCAAGTTTAGTCAATACAAAACGAAACACGCAATAGCTATGTGTGTGCGCGTATGTGTATACTCACAGAAGAGATGAGCGAGGCCGCACTTGAATCCGGAGAGGTCTGGCTCGATTTCTTTGACTATCTGATTCGAAGCGAAAATGCAATAAATGAAAGTGAAGGGTTAGGGTTTTGAAAAAAATGAAAAATGAAGGGGAAAAAGGAAGAGGAAAAGGAACCTTGGAAGTAACTAGATGGCAGCCGCGTCTGAAAGGGGGCAAGCTAACGGTTTTCTGGGCCCACTTAGGGACGGTGGACTCGGCCATAGAGACGTTCTTAACGGTTGGGATTTGCGCCCTTACACGGAACGGTGAGGCTTGTATCATGGTTTTGATGGTTCTCGGTTTTAAACCCAACGACCACAACAAGTGGGTTATGCAACAGCAGCTCAGGAGCCATACCCCGTGTCCCCATCTTGTTCTTCTCACCCTTGGGCCTGCCCTTTGGTCCATCATTTCTTTAATAAACTTTTCAAAATTCGGATGGGTTAAAATGCTACTTTTATTATTCTACGATTTAGTAATTTTTCTTTTTATGAATAACTACAAATATAGTGTGAATGTGATGTAATAAAAGTGGCATAATTATTTATAAAATACATAAATAATAAAATTTAGAGTTATTTTAACATATTTTTGCATGTCATTGACTCTTTATGTGATGATAATTAATAGATAATTTAAATTTTTTATTTTAAAATAATATTCATAATCTTTCTGAGGACATTAATCTTAATTACATGATAATGTTACATTTTTTTAACTGTAATTGCTTTATAACTTAAATACAATATTAATTATAATGATAAGAGTTATTTATTTATTATTATGGTTTTTTATGAGATTTATAAACTTGTATTTTATTTTTCTTACTTATTATATTATAAATATATTAATATATTATTTATTGAAATATTTTTTTATTTTTTATATTTTCTGTATTTTTTTAATAAAATTTTTGACCTTATAATTTTGACCTTCTTATTTATATATTAGAAATATTAATTATATGTTCTACTAATTTTTTAATATTTTTATATCTACATTTCAGATGTTAATTTTTTTTTCTGATTCACCTTTAATAGAAAGACAATTTCGTAAATGATTATAATTATTCTATTAGTGTGTATTTTAGAAATTATTTCGTGTTTTTTTTAAATAACATATTTATTTCATTTCAATTATTTTACTTTATTTCATTTTATGTTTATTATATTGGAAATCTTAACTTATTATTATGTTCTTACATATGCATAATACAATCTCGTAAATTATAATAATTATTCTACGGTATCCACTATTTCATAATCATTCTGTATTTGTTATAGAGTGAAAATCTCAATTTCGGATATTAACATAAATAAAAGTAAATCTTAATTATTTAATCAATGTAAATTATTGTGCTTTTGATCTTTCTTTTTATGCATTTTTTTTAATATTTAGCTAGCTACATATGGTGAAATTGATCAAACAAACTAGTATTTTCATGTTAAAAGAAACTAATTAAAATCTGGAAAAGTAATTGATAATGTTCAACATAATTTATTAAATTGTAACTATTTGGTAGATTAATTTATTAAAATAATTGGTAAAATATAATAGTGATGCTTTATATAAACAAATTATTGATAAAAATATTTTGGTTTATTTATACTTTTATTTTTTACTTTAGTTTAAAATAATTACAATTTTTCAATCATTTTAATTACATTTTATACTTTTAAATTATTATATATTTTTTATATCGTGTGATTCATTAGTGGTGTTATGTTGAATCTTGAAATACTTGTAATTAAATTTCAAATAAAGTGAAAATCTTATGTTTTTAAAGAGTTATTATACCCTCATTTTATTAATAATATACAAATTAAAACCGGATATATAATATTTGGTTGGTAAAAATAAATGAATGTGTTTTATACACAGCAGTTAAAATATATATGACGAAGAGAACTTTGTAGATCACCCTGGGGATAGAAATGTGAGTAGATTTTAACAAAATTTGCAGGTTAAATGTATGTATAGTATGAGTTGCGTAGGCTATAGAGAGAGAATTAATTTTTTAAATAATATATTTTAAAAAAAATTAAATATACAATCTTTATAAATTTATTTATTAATATTATTCATACATAAAATTTAATAACGAGAGATAAATTTATCTGATATAATATAAGTTATTTTATCTTTTATCTTTTTCTCTCTGTTTATTTATTTTTATTTTTCAACTGGTTTTCCTTTTTCTCTCTTTTTTCACTCGTCTCATTAATTTAATTAAAAATATTAGTTTAAAATTTGATAAAATGAATATTTTATTATTTATAAAAAATAAATATATTCAAAATATTATAATTTAATATATTATATTTTTAGAAAATATTATATCATAAAATTAAGATATTATAAATTATTAGATTAAAATTATAAATTTTTTTTAAATTAACTAATAAGATTAATTTTCATATCTCAACCTATATTAAATTATTAAATAAAATACATATTTAATTTATAAATATTTAATATTTTTTAATTAAATAAGTAATTAATTTCTTATGATTAAATAGTTTAAAATTAATTTGTATTGTAAATAAAATTATTTAATATCACAATAAATAAAATTATTTATTGTGAACATAATTTAAAATAATTAGTTTATATTTTTTTAGTTTTAATATTAATTTTTAAAAATATTATTAACCTAATTTTATTATATTTCAATATAATAGTTTTAATTAAAAAATATATATTAGGAGAGTAAAAAAAATAAAATAAAAGATATGATATAATATGATATGATATGATATAAAAAAAAAAAGAAAAATATGTAGTAAATAAGAAAAAAGAAAAAATACTACATACAAACAATGAACAGTATACTTGATGAATAAATTAATAGATATTTTAATTAAATATATTTTTTTAAATATATCATTTATAATATTGTTTATACATATTCATATCGTAAAAAAATACTGTTTATTATATTTAAAAAATTATAAAAATAAAAATAAAATATGATAATAATCCTCGTCAAAAAGAAAATTTTAATTAGATATTTATTTTTTTCTTAATAAATTTAATTATTAATTTTATAATTTTTTTATCGGGTTGTCGCCGCCGTACGCCGTAAAAAAGAGAGGCGGTCGGAGTGACGCGATGGTTTCGACTTTCCAATTTTTGCGTTTTTATGGGTGTGGTTACAACGCCTTTAGGTTGTCCGATAACCGGGCTGAACCTAGGGGCGAGGTTTTCGAAGAAGTGTTCTTGGATTGTCCAATAACCGGGCTAACTCAAGAACTAACTTTGAAGGGTTCTTATGGAGTCGCCACCGATGTTTTTACCGGAAACATCGGAAAAGGAAAAAAGAAGGCAATGGTTTTCGAAAAATCAACTTTGGTCATTATAACCAGAGTCGGGTAAGAGAGTTAGTTATGTGTGGGGAAGGTATTAACACCCCCACAACGCCCATTTCGCGTTCCCTATGATGGACTATTCTTAAAATAAAGACAATAAAAGTATGCTTCTACCCTATTTATTTATTACAGAATTTAAATAGTTATCTACATGATCCTAATATCTAATGCATACAAGGAAAATAGTAAAAGAAAGCGATAAAAGAGAAAAGATATGAAGGAGAACCTCCGAAGCGAGCTTTTATAAATGTTGAACTTGAGGACGCTTTTTGGCAGTCCCCGCACTCTACAGAGACACTCCTCTCTCGATAAAAAAATAAAGGTGTCACCCTACCGAGGGCCGGATGTCTCAAAAAAAAGAGGACATTCTTAACCGATTTCTACCTTAATGGAAATCGGAAGGCTCACTCGAACTCTGGAAAAATACTCAGAGTCACTCTAAAGTGCCAAAAGGCTTCCTAGAGAGTGGTAGGAGTGAATGGTGTGTGAAAATGAGGGGATGGAGCCCCCTATTTATAGTTTTTCGCGCCTGACAGGTCGAGACCGCCGTCTCGTCTGATAGGGTCAAGACCGCCGTCTCGCCTGGTCAAAGTGGCGAGACCGCCGTCTCGCCCTTCGCAGGTGGCGAGACCGCCGTCTCGCCCTTCGCAGGTGGCGAGACCGCCGTCTCGCCAAACGAGACGGCGGTCTCGTCCCAAGAGGGTGAGAAACCTTATTTTCGTGCCAAAAAATCCCTCCTATCCTAGTATGGGGCCTAATAGTCTCTCCTAGTGGCTTGTTAGGCTTCGTCCATCTTCGAATAGGAGGTCTTCTATTCTTTATTTGGAGGCGGGGCAAGATTTGGGGTCTACAACTGCCCCCCCTTTACCTGACTTGTCGGCTGTTGGCCTGTTGTGCCAGACAGATTGACAAGAAGGTAAAGGAGTTGACCCTCTTGCCCGGTTACCCTTTAGATGCTCCGTCTTTGCGGCGGATGATCCTCTGGGGAAATGTTGTGCGCTTCCAGGATGCTTCTTCTGGCGATAGCTGATCCCTTCGGCTGATGAGTACGAACCCCCATCTGGTTTGACGAGTATGAACCCTTGCCCGGTAAGCCCCCTTCTGTAAGGCCTGATGAGTATACACCCCCATCTGGTGTTTGTGCCTCCGGATGCTCCTTCTTGCGGTAGCTGATCCTTTGGCTGTGGTGGCGGCTTACTGCTCTAGCTCATGCGCCGACTGTTGAGATGTGTTCTTTTTGTCTTTGTTTGTATTTGGTCGTCCGATTTATGCTGGAGATTTTGTTGGTGTTCATCCAGCTTTGTTGGTTGCTGGGGATTCTTTGTTTTTGGTTTTTTGGTGGTGGTCATCCGACTTTGCTGGTTGTCGGGAATTTTTTATGAGTGCCTCTTAGGTAGGCAGGAATCCTCTGGAGATTTGTTGATCTGAGTGACGCCTCTTGAGTAGGCGGATATCCTGTTCAGTTTCTGGTAATGCCTCTGAGTAGGCAGACGCTTCATCGGAAGTGAAGTCTTTTGGTTTCATTTGTTTTTGCCTCTGACCAGGCTGATATGGGGATACTGGCTCTTGCTTGCTTGCCAGGTCTTGCCTATGCATAGGCAAATGGAATTCTGAGGATGAATATGAAGTTTTGCCTTTGCAGTAGGCTCACTGGGATGATCTTTCTTTTTATTGTTCCACCGGGGAATTGGTTGACTTCCCGGGGGTCATATTTTGGTAGCCCCTTTGGGGGAATGGAATCTTGGTTCCTTAATTGATGTGGGTGCGAGCTGGCTTTTGTGGTGCTCTTTGAAGGAATGGAATTTCCAATTCCTTCTTTTTTGTTGATTTTTTCTTTTTCTGAGGTGACCCACTTAGGGAGCAAGGATTTTCATTTGATTTCGCATTTTTCCGCGATTTATCTTTTTTTTTCGCGATTTGAAATTTGGCTTTTTCGGGATAATGCGTAAGCCTTTTTACTTTTTAGTCTCTTTTTATTACGCTGGCTTTTTTCCTTCTTTTTGGGAGGTCCATGAAGTTTTCTTTCTTTGGTGATCCACCAGG